GTATGTTTTACCACAATTTTTTAAACAAGAAATGGACTTAACAAAAAATGAGTAGTTACCTGATCAAGCAACCTTAGGGTAATTCTTGGCATGCTGTTCTTTGTATTCTATGATTCTGGCTAAGAACAGACCATCAAACAGGTGAACTAAATATTGCAATGAATCTCTCTCTATCTGCTGCATGCTCAACCATGGTTAATGAGGTAGAAACATCATGCCCCAGGAACTAGACTAATGCTATAAAATAAAAAGGTCCTTGAAAGCAGTCTGAAGGACCAACCTATGCAATGTCTCCTAAACCCGGCTCCCATTCAGATCACTGCCTAAAATTCCAACTTTGCATTTCCATCTTATCCTTACCCACAACTTCTATTATGCCCATTCCATATATTCTGATTCCACACTTCCCCAAACCACTTCCCTTTCCAATATATACTTTATATCCATTAGTAGCAGCATTATCTGCTAGTCTCCACATGCAAGATTTAAAGTGGGAGGACTCTTTGGTTTCTTCTCTCCATCCTTCTGCCCCTCATCCTAGCTTCCCAACTCCACAGTAGAGGGAGGAGTAATGTTTAGCTACTTGGTCAGAGTTTGAGACATTGTGAGACCACAGCTTATTGGCACATAAGATTACTGTGTCCTACAGAACCATGTGCTGAACAACTTTTTCTGTTGTTCTTGATTCTAGGCAATAAAGTATAAAGTTTACCTTTGATGACTTTTTCTTCTTCCCTGGGGTCAGAGGTACCACTGTGAAATCTTAAATAAGTTATTGAACACATTGAATATATCTCTGTACTTCTGTTTCCTAATCTATAAAATGGGGAAAGTGATAACAATAGTGTATGCAGCATTGAATAGTTGCGAGTATTAAGCGTCTGTGTCTGGTGCTAAAAATAATGTCTAGCCGCTGGTGAGCAGGGACGACACTTTCCATGGAGGCACTCCTGTTAGAGCCATCCAGCCTCCTCTCTTTCCTGCCTTTGTGGCATAAGCTGATCTGAGCCAGTGTAGCTCTCCCTTTTCTCTTCCTCTCTTCTCTTCCCTGATATACATTACTCTGAGAATGAAGTAAGACTGTCTCAGATGGGAAGGATTTAGCCCACAGGGTCCAAGTCATTTTTACCATGGAGTGCTTCCCTGGGCATAATCAAGTGCCCATGGGTGACTGTTTATTCATGCGGCTCTTGTCTCCTGAGGTGTATAAAAACCATGGTTGGGAACCCAGGAGGAAATAGGGTAGGATTTGAGCTGAAAAACTACACTGAACCCGTAACACAAGAACCTCACAGTCCCCCTTGCTCTGTCTCTCATTTGCCTGCAACATTAATAACCATTGATGTTACTGGTCTTATTTCTCTCTCTCTCCTTTACCATTACCTTATTTAAAAATTTTCACCTTTTACTGTTGCCCCAGCCTCCAAAGTGGCCTGTCTAAAACCTCTTCCTACTTCCATCTTCAACAGTAGCTGCTAGGGCCACACTTCTAACCTAGACAAATCACTTATCAACACTCCTGTGGCTCATCAGTGCCCATAACAGAGGGTTTCAACCTTGGCTGAACACCAGAATCACAGAGATTATATCATAATCATTGAGGTGGGTCCCAGGAAAGAAATTTGTTTTTGTTTGTGTTTTAGTGTTCCAGCTGATTCTAACACACAGCTATGGTTGAGAACCACTCGTTTACTACCTTAATTGAAAACAGAAATTTAGAAGTGCAACGTTACTTGTAATTTTTTAGAGCAGGGTAAGCATATGTCCACTATTTTCAAAATTGTGATGAAAGTTCAAACATGGGAGATGATAGCTCTCAAGAAGTCTGATGCCAATTTATTTTGAAAAACACCCCACATTCTAGACAATTCAAGCATAGAAAATCCTTGAAACTAAGGGAAGAAATAAAAAAAAAGTATCAATAATGAGGAGATAAATGCGTATAAATAAGTATTTAATGATAGAGAGGAGTAAAAGATGACAATATTTAAAATAATTTAAGAGCTTTAGCTTTTGAGAGTACCAAGAAGTGAGCAAAGAATTGCAGGTAAAGACAATAGAACATACACATGGTTTGAATATCAGGCTTCAAGGTAACAAAAGTAGCCTGTAAAGGAAGCAGGCAGGTGGAGCAGTCAGTGAAAAGAACACACTCAGAAAGTTCCAGTCGTGTTCTGTCCTTGCCACTTATTAGACAAGCTAAGCTTCACATCTGTACACCTCGTCTATAAGCTGGAGATAAAACCTATTTCACCAGGTAACTGGGAGAATTTAACAAGATGAACACATATATGAAAGCGTGGAGCATAAATCAATGCTCAAAAAATCTGTAGAGAAGGTTTCTTTTAAAAATACAGGGCGAGCATCCCTAATCTGAAAATCTGAAATCTGAAATGCGCCCAAATCAGAAACTTTCTCGGTGCCAACATGAGCCGCAAGTGGAAAACTCCACAAATAACTTAGTGTGATGCGCTGCAGCCCAAATGCAAGTATACTGAAATAATGTATAAAATTATCTCAGGCTAGGGGCTGGGGTTGTGGCTCAGTGGTAGAGCCCTTGCCTAGCATGTGAGGCACTGGGTTCGATTCTCAGCACCATATATAAATAAATTAATAAATAAAGGTCTATCATCAACAAAAAAATTTTAAGTTACCTCAGGATATATGCATAAGGTATATATGAAACAAAAGTGAATTTCATGTTTAGACGTGGGTCCCATCCCCAAGATACCTCATTATGTATATGCAAATGTTCCAAAATTAAAAAAAAAAAAAATCTAAAACCTGAAACACTCTGGTCCCAAGCATTTGTGACAAGAGACATTCAACCTGTAGTAGAGAAAGAACTCCATGGGTGCAAAAATCTTCTAAAGAAAACATAAAACAAATACTCAGAAGACAAAAACCAAAAAAACTTTGAACCTCTGCTATGCCAGTATAATGGGCAATAGAACATGGCAATTTCTTCAGTTTCTATATGGCAAAATTTGTTGTTATCTGAATCATATAAAAGTAATCTATTCAAAAAATCATTCCCAAACAAATGATGCTATGCCTGGCATTTAAAAGTACACACAGTGGGTCTTAATTACCATCACACTAAAATCAACATTATATTAATTACCATTGCATTAAAACGTTTCAGTAAACAAATAACTCCTTAGTCTCAAGTCACTCCCAAATCAGTCTATTAACATTAATGACTGCACTTTCCTGAGCTATTTTAGCACAGAAAATCAGAAGCACCTTGGGTGGCATGGTACATGTTTTTATAAACATAATTTTGAAAGGTCAGCTGCTATTTGTCCCAGGGTTGCATTAGGGGGTGAGGAAAGGCTATGGACTAATTCTGTTAACAAAGAATCTTCTCCACATCTACATGAAATATTTGTGCATATTGCATTTCAGTTGCCATTTCCTTACAATGCTATTCCATTAAGTAAACTCTTGAACAGTATCCCATACATCATAAGTTAGGAAATGGATATTTTGACCCTTTCTAAATATCTTTCTTTTGGAGAACCTGCACTTTTATGTTTAAATTAAACACTTCTTACTTTGTTGAATTTCTTATATCTCATTAAAATTTACTTTCTTTTCCTTGGTTCACGGGCAGAACTGGTACCTATAATGTGACCACTGGCCAAGATTACAGTTGTTCTGTGATTCACAGATGGCATTTGTTATGGAGAGACACAGAATAAGAGATAATTTTCAAAGGTCTTCATAAAAGTATGGAAAGAGAGTTGAAAATATACTTGAGGGCTGGGATTGTGGCTCAGCGGTAGAGCGCTCGCCTAGCACGGGTAGGACCCGGGTTCGATCCTCAGCACCATATAAAAATAAAGGCATTGTGTTGTGCCCATCTACACCTAAAAAATATAATAAATATTAAAAAAGAAAATATACTTGAGTAAGACAAAGGCTGCCTGAGGAAGTGTATTTGCATTTTGAGTAGCAAAATACTATGAAAGAGAGCAATACTGTTATCTACTCTGTCCCCTCCACAGCAGGAAAAGGAGGTAGAAAAGAGCACTGGCCCCAATAGAGACCAAGCTTTGTTCCCAGCTCTGCCATTAACTAGCTGTGTTGCCTGGGGATAGACGTTTCCATTTCTGGATTTGATGTTTTAATCTATAAAGTACAGATGATGGACCAGGTGAGGACTTCCAAGTCCTTTCTAAACAGCTCTAAAACAGGTGTTTGTCTTTTTACCAACCCAGCACATTGGCAGTGACTCCAAAGCCAAGAAAGTCTGCGTCAGGCACCCTGGCAAAGCAGAGTGGAATGTCACCAAATAACCACACACCCAGCACCATGCACCAGGGACTGTGCTCCCCATCCCATTGGAAAATCACCAGGTCTCTTGATCTTCCACTGAGAAATGCACTCATTATACAGTAGGCTGCAGGGGCCTCTCATAGTCTGAAGGAGAAAGAAGCAGTGGGGAACCACCTAACCAGAAGGAACTAAAAATGTCAGAACTGGAAGTACTATAGATATCATCTAGTAACACATCTACTTTTCTACAAAGGAACATCAAGCCTCTGAGAGAACTGATTCGTCCAAAAAGATAACACTCAGGCTTATGTGAATGGGTGGAGTAAATCCTCAGGATTCTCAGTTCCAGGGCCACGGATGATCTGTTCACCATTCGGTCAAGATCACAGTTCATAGAAACTTAGGTCAAATGCTCTGGCCTTCTGAAATGATCTAGCAAACGAGAGAAGTGTCCCAGTTGCTCCTTGGTTTTGATCTCACTTTTCATTAAAAGAAAAAAAAACTATCAATCAATCAATCAAGGGTTACTAGATACCAAAGAACTGTTTTGAGGGGGAAATAGCCTGCTTAAATGGTATCTTAGTCCCTCCAATTATAAGCAATACAAAAGGGACAAAACCCATACACGCACACATATATAACAAGTTCCCTCTCAAACCAACTCCCCATGTTGCCTGGGATTACAAGCGTGGGTTTGGATCATTTGTGAGTTTCCTTACCATCCCAATGCAGAAGAGGATAAAGAGCAGCAGCCATGGTATGTCTGTGCAGCTACGGTCCTCCAGTGGCTTCCATTCTCTTTTGGAACTCTAATTGAAAACATAAAATAAGAGAGCCTGGTCAATGTTAAGTTTAGTTAAAATTGGAAAGGCAGGACTGGGGATGTAGTTCAGTGATAGAACATTTGCCTACCAGGCACAAGACCCTGGGTTCAATCCCAGTATACCAAAAAAGTGGGAAGGGCACAAATATATCATCATATACCTAGTTCTCTTCTTAGCCAGACAAGTTTACACAACTCAACAGTCACCTCTTCAGAGAAACTCACCCTAACCTCCTCAGCTGACCCTCCACTGGCTCCACTCCCATGCCACTTCCTGGCCAGGGACAGTATGAGATTAGTGCTTTTTTGGTAACTCTGCTGGAGTGTTTAGCATGCTAAACTGTTATTCTTAGTTGTCAAGCTGTATCCCCAGCAGACTGCAAGCCTTGCAAGGGAAGAGGGCACCTCATTTACCAGCATCAAACATGATTCCTAAGTGTTTATGATGTGTTCTCAGAAAAGGCTTTTTAAAATGAATAAACTCACAAATGAACAAATTCTTCCAACTTCAGTCTTAGTGCTAGCTTTTTCTTTTGTGTGTCCAGATGCTGGACTTAAAAAAAGAAAAAAAGATTAGAACACGCTCTCTATATGTTCTCTTCTGGGAAGAATTCCCATCAAAATGAATTGCTATTCAGGGGTAGATTCCTCCAAGTGAAATAAAATTTGAGAAGGAAAAATTCAATATTTCTGACAACTCCTGAACAAGCATCCACGGACTTTCATTGTGTTCCTAGAAAATATTAAATAGTTCCTAGATCAAACACAGATTCCCTAACCAAAGAACTGGAGGCATTCTGAAAGCTAATTTGCAAAATATTGATTGGAATTCCAAGTGCATTTTCCCCCCCTCTTATTTGCAATAGTCTTGTGTTCTCAGGTCAGCTCACACATTCTTTTCAATCAAAATGTATCTGAAGTGACACCCCTGAGCTTTCTAATGAACAAACATCCCTGAGTCTCACAGCATCTCATGGAAACAGAGCAGAGAAGGTAGCCCTGAGAAAGTTGGGGAATGTTCCTGCATTAAGAAGCCGGAGTCCTCCAGTGGCTTCCAAGAAAAGATCCAGGAAGCTGTGTGGAAGGCTTGTCAGTAGGAAGGGGGCACAAGGGGGCTAGAGATAAGGGAAGCCTCTCCTACAATTAGTGCTTGGATGCAACTGGCATAGTTCTCCCTTCTTCTAGAACAATAGTCTTAAACCGTAGATCTTTTGATAATCTCACGAAAGCTACAGATTATTTTCCTGAAATATATATTCACAGAATCTTCATAAAACTTTAGGGGGAATTCAGGCTCCAGTTTAGGAAACTCAACATTAAAATAGTTGCCTTACTGACAATGAGGACAGAGAATCTGAGCTCCCAACCACTTTCTCCTGCCGACACCTAAAGTGTTAACTAGACAAGTGTCTTGTTACCACCTTCCACTGTTCAATTGTTGCAACAAAAACACTGAGCTTGTTCCCAGACACCCACATGAGAAAACAAAAGAACACTAGTTAGTCATGGAAAATAACCTTGCCACAAAACTCTAACTAGCGTTAAAAATCCAAGAATGAGTAGGCAGTTTTTTTCCAAAGGAATGCAGAACTGTGGCATTATGTACAGAACTTATCTCTCCCTCCTTCCGACATCAGCTATCTACATGACTTTAAAAAAATTACTTTATCCCTTGGGTGGCAGGAAGGAGTTAGACTGGATCTCTTGGGTTCCTTCCAACTCTAAAAATCTATGATCAGGAATGAAGTTCTGTGACAACTTTTGTGATGATAAGAAAAACAACTGTAAAATAATCTGACAGTATTCCCTGTGTTATTCAAGTTTGAGTAAGAATGCCGGTATTGTGGTGTGCATTTTGGAAGACAGTGGCTCACAGTGTGAACAAAGAATGTTTCTTTGTATTAAATAATTTCAGTCTTGAATAATGCCCATTCTAGTAAAACTACTCACATACAGAATTTGGACACTGTTTTTGAAATTCATCATATTTACTCTGTAATAATTTGTATATCTACAGCTCCCTTAAAATACTTGGTTTTAATAAACAGTATGGGGGTGGGCTCAGGTTGATCAAGTACTTTCTTTACAACAATTTTCTTACTATTTTTGCTTTAGGCCAACACACAGTTTGCTAATGCTTATATTTTCATCTACGACATCAGGAAGAGGGATTTCACTCTTGACAAGAAAAACCCAAAGACTCAACATCTCAACAGTTCAACTTGCTGTGTGTGCCACCGCTGTGCAAAACACACAGGCAGTCTGTCACTGGAGAAAATAAGTGGGGAGGCAGTGGAGTTATGTATGAAAAACAGTGATAGAATCCAGAGTGGAAGAGCACAAGGACAGTATGGTCACCCTCACTCCAACAGAGGCAGGCTGCTCGGAGGAGGGGTGCTTCCTTCACAGGGCTGCTTTGAGGACAGAAATGTGGCATTCCTTGCCTGAGTACTCAGTTGCTTGGTTATTGTTATTACTTACCAATAATCTTTTCAGTTAATCCTCTCCATATTGTTATAATATCATCTTACCAGATGGTTCTTTCCAAAAAAGGGGTTAAAATGAATATTAGACTTTCCTTTCCCCATAGATGTACTGAAATTTTGACTTAGTAGTGACCTATTTTATTTTAGCAACCACTCTAAATGCTATGGGTGGGTGATCGATTACCATTAATCAGACAGTAGGCCTAAATCTACATGTAGTCTTCTACCTTCAAAACTACTCTCTGGTGTAGGCATCATACCTATTTCACAGAGAAGGAAACTCAAGCTCTGAAATAGACAGCTCAAGGTTTCACTCTTGGGCTCCCAGGATATGAATACAAGTCTGTGATGCCAAAGCCAGCTCCAACAAGACTATTGTCCTTTAGTCAGTTAAGAGCAACAACTCCCATTAGTGTTTCCTCACTGCAAAAGTTGGAAGCCAGGCTGATAATTTAAAATTCTATAAGTGCAAAGAGAGTGAGTGAGATGTGTTATGAGCCATGAAATTTCTCAAGTGAGTCAGGAAACCCCACAGTTGAAAAATTTTAATGATTCTTTATCAGATTTAACCAAGTGGCAACTAGATTTAATGCTATGTTTCTTCCAATTAAAATTCCACGTAAAACTAGCAAATCTAAAACATTTTGTAAAAGCACTTCTTAAATGTGATTTTTTATGCCTTTTTCAAATTTTACATGAGATTAATACAAGCTGTTAATAAATGTTAGGTCTCTCCCCCATCAGAGAATCATGCAGTCCAAAGATTTAATGACAGTGATTGAGACCCAGAGAAGGAAAGGGAAGGGACTTGTCCATGGGAATACATGTATTTTATCCATGATATCTTGATTCTCAAAACAATTCTATATCATATATTCCCAACTTTCCGATTTTGTAGAAGGGGAAACCACAGTTCATGGAAAATCCATGTCAGAAACCTGAATCCTCAAACTCCAGCAGAGAGACAGAAACTATTAGAAACAGCCTCGGAAATGCTAAAAATTAAAAAATAAATATAGTAACAGATGAAGAATGCCTTTGTCAGTCTCACTGCTAAACTAAATACAGCTATGAAAACCATCAGTAAACTCAAAATATGTCACATTACCCTAACTTAAAGACAAATCAAAACAAGAGTGAACATTAAAGAATCCAAGAACTACTGGATAACGTCACATAAGCTAACATATGTGTAACTGAAACCCAAGTAGAGCATGGAGAAGCCAGACGAACTAGCTCAAGAAATAATAACTGAAAAAATTCTAAAAATAATTTTTAAAAATTAAAGCACAGATTTAAAGAATTAGAGAATCCCAAGCAGGATAAACACACACACACACACACCCCTACACACATATTCAAACTGTGGAAAATCAAAGACACAATGGTCATAATGAAAGGTAGTCAGTATTATTTTTTGTTTAAAAAGACATTACATTCAGAAAAATAAATATTACAACATATTTCTCTTTAGAAACTATGCAAGTAGAAAACCATGGAATGGCATCTTTAAATTGCTGAAAGAATCACAGGCCCAGCATCAATACCCAGAGGAATGCCTCTCAGAAACAAAGACTTTCTTAGACAAAAAAAAATTAGCAACAGATATAAACTACGAGAAATGTGAAAGAAAGTTCTTCAGGTAGAAGAAATATGATACCAGACAAACTTGGAGATACAAAAAGAAAGATTTTCAAAACTAGATACAATGAATACTTGAAGTTTTCCATGGTAGAAAGTTCTTTTTCAATGTTGAAAAATATAGGTGTGAATATATTTGTATAACTGCATCCACATCACATGATCTTTTTGCACATGCATACAAGATTGATATTCTTGAAAGCATATTTATAATTTATAATATAGGTGGAACATTCCTAATTTCCCTAATTAAAAAATCCAAAATCTGAAATGTTCCAAACCCAATACTTTTTGAGCACTGTTTGATATGATGCCACAAGTAAATTTCCACACCATGAAACCTTGTTTCATGCACAAACTTATAAAAGATGTACAAAATTAACTCCAGGATAGGTGTGCAAGGTACATATGAAACATAAAGAAATTCTATGCTTAGACTTGGGTCCCATTCCTAGGATGTTTATTTTATACAAAGGCTGCACTCAAATTTGTGACCTCTCTGCTTTACCTCCCAAGCAGCTGAGATTATAACCCTATGACACCACACCCATGGCTGTAAATAGTTTTAACCTAACTTTCTATGTTGTTTCAAATGAAGATGCAGTTGTTAAGAACTGTGTCTTATTTATGGATAATATGCACACACAGAAGTATGGTAAGTGATATGTCATTACCAATTAGGTCAAGTTGATTGTCACTGGAAGGCATCAGCAACAACAGGGCAAGTAAAGGGGGCCAAGGCCAGGGGATGATTACATAGAAAAAAGTCTGGCAGCTTTGATTCTGAATCAGACAGGCAAAGCAATGATCCAGACTTAAGACAAAAAGAGTCAAATAGGTCTCAAGTATGGAGGCACAC